GGGTGCATTTCTAACTATAGAAACATGTTGGGGATGTATACCATACTGAATCAGTTTTCATATAAAACACTAGGTTTTTGAATCATAGTTCCATATTCTCAAAGCTTTTGACAAAAGGCAAAAGTTAAAAAGTAACTTGCATATTTAAGTAGAGTCCGAACGTTTAAAAAGCTGTTTAACATTCGTTAGGAGAAAGTGAATTTCCAAAATACATTTTCAAATATGTTAGAATATTTTGAAGCAGTTATAACTAGCATTTTTAAGCAGTTTTCTTTTAATATACCACAAATTATACTTTATTTGTTCTTGACAACATTGTAGAAAACAAAGACTAGGTTTTTAAAACTGTCTAACCAACGTGATGAATGTCAGTCACTTGAAAAAAACCCACTGTAGCATAAACACATACTGTATACAGCTTTTATTCAGAATTAGAATAATTGAATCAATGACAGTGATTCGCCAGGATGTCAAATCTCTCCATCATATCCTGTCACTACCAGTTTATTTTTTGTGATCAAAATCAAAAAGACAACTATTTTGTCACCCACTATTTCATTAGTACTAAAAATCAGGTTTCTTCTATTTTTTTAGAATGTCTGGTTTATTTTTTTCACTTCTTTTAATTCGAAAGACAAATTCTTCCCCAGTTTCTTTTCAAAATAAAGTTTCAGAATTGATCTGTCAGTTAAAATTAAAGGGCTTTTATATTAAGCAAAAGTGCTTTTAAAATTTAAAGCAACTCCAGAAAATCAGTTTAGTCCAAAGATAATAAATAATGTGCAGATACTCCACAAAAGCTTTGCTCTCTCTGAAAGCATTATGAGCAATCTGAATAAACTCAAATGAATATTTTAGTCAGGTTATTATTTTAATAACTCTAACCTTTTTCTTACCATGTTGTGATTCGTTTTATACAAACACACAACGGAACAATTACATAGCATTTGACTCTGAAAAGGAAATGTGAGGTCATCAGATATGTAAACTGCTTGTCAAAAATACTTGATAGGTCACTGATTTACCTTCCTGGCTACCATGTCTGTAGAATTAATAGCCAATTGCTAGTTAGTCTGTGCTTTGCAAATAGATAAATACTATAAAAATTGAATGTGCATATTTGAACCCTTATTTTAAATATAAAAGAAATTTTTCAAACTCAGTAAAAGTGCATTTTGAACAATAATAGTACCTGGGCTTTCCAAAAATCAGATCCAAGTTCTCTTGTTCTGATTCATTAGGCAGGCTTTGTAAAAATAAGCTACTAGAAAGGGGTGTATATTTTTGTTTTCCTCGGATAAAAACCCACTCTAAAAATGTGTTTTCCTCTTTCTGGGAACATTATCGATCATCCATATGCTAATAACTTACTACATAAAAATATTGGGCCACAATAATGCTACTGTAGGTGTATAGACTATTTTGATACGTTATGAAATATACACTCTATTAACAGACTTCCAATTATCAACTTGTCTCAAAGATATAAATACCTAAGTAACAATGCCAAACATAGTATTTGAAATGTCTTCATATCTTTTAAATGTTTCTAAAACTTCTAACCCTCTCTGGTATTCATTTCTTACCATAGATTTGCCTTTCTCTAACAGGAGGTAAATATTTTGACTGCTGCAGTCCGCTCAGGTGCTGGGGTTCTAAGACCCTCTGAATTTCTTTCTAGTAGCCACCAGACAATTTCCCATTTTCTCTTCCCCTCTTCCCTTTATTCTTTATCTCCACCTCCAGCATCTGCAGATACTAACACTAGACAAAATAAAACGACTTCAAAAGGAAGCAACACTCTGCAATCAATTCCCTGTCTAATTAATTTTAAAGAATCAGACTCACGAACACACATACAGAAGGGAAGTGGGGGACCCCATTCATTCGTTCAGGCCCGTGGTGAACGTCCTTCCTAAAGGCCATGCTAATGGGCTTTGCAAAGACAGTCACCGTCAACCCCACCGAATTTAAGCAATACTAACCCTTGGGACTTACACTGCGAACTTTAAAACTGAGCAGAGAAGTCATTCAGGACTGATGCAAAAATAGAAAAATGAGGTTATTCTTGAGAAACAGAAAAGGAAAGACTTTGTGTTTGGCCTTGGTGAGCCAAACATACAGAGAAGAAAAGCATTTTTTTTTCAATCTTGTTAACAAGAAGGCCCAGAGGAGAAAGAAATAAGCAGAAGAATATAGACACCATCTAAGATGACAAAAATTCACAAAACAGAGCTGGATCTTCAAATACTGTATAAAGGAATCTTAGGAAACCTAGTTATGATTAAAAAAAAAAAAAGGAAGAAAAATTGATTATGTGAGCCACATCAAGAAGCCAGTTGCTTACCATTTAAGAGTCAGGAGGCACAGCTTTGGGGGGAAAATACTCTGAAAATTCATTGTAGTAAAAAGCATATTTTTACTCGGAGTAATTTGCATGTTTCTTACTCAGACATTCAGCTCTAATTCTGTTCACCTGGTCTCCCTAAGCCAGTCAAGTTTGGAGAATAATCACAGGCTGTTAGTCTGTGATTCTACTGAGGACATCTCTCATTGACAGTCACCCCCCGAAGATGGTGCCTCACCGTCCCCGCAGAGTTCCCATTGATAAACACAGACATATATATACCCTTCAGTAGATAAATAAGCAAAAGTAAGTTATTTCAACAATGAGTAAAAGGCTCCCTCCTGGGCGCAGGATTCCGGGCCTGCCGTGCTCTCCCCGGGAGAGTGCCTCGAGCTCCACTCACACGCACGGCTCATCCCAGGGTGAGGGCAGAAGGCAAGGCAGCCTTACGTCCTGCCGGACCAGAGGGCTTCTGCAGCCGAGCAGCCGCTTCGTCACTAAACCAGGCTGTGCCACTGCACCCCGGCAATGCTGACCCTCGGAGGACACACATACGTGCCCAAGTGCACGCATGCAGGCCCTCCGCTCCCACAACATACCCCTTCTCCCACCCAGCTCCTGCACCAAAGTGCCACACCAGATTCTCCAAAGTCTACACAACAGAGCTGGGAGCTGGCCGGCCGCCTGACCCTGGCCCAAGTCATAGCCGGTTGGAAACTGTCGCTTCTTGCAGGGACGAAGCAAGCCAGCAGCAGCTGCTGCACACGCCACACAGAGCCCTTCTCTGACAGTTCCCTGGGCGCGTGTCCCTCAGGAGTGTAGGCTGCACAATGTCGGGAGGTAGAAATATCTGCATGGGCAACTGGACCAGCAGTGCAGACGTGTGCACCCTCCACTGCAGCAGTGTGCAAGCGTGCAGTGCAGGCTGACGGTGAGAAAACCACACACACACATAGGAAACTGCAATCAACCCAGGGAGGTGTCTCTAAATGTGCAGCAACTCGGCTGGAATGAAGTTAGTTATTAATATATAGCATGCCAGAGAGTTGGATCACAATGACCTGTCACAGGTAATTCCTTAACTAGAAAACAGTAGATGTTGAGCTAGAAGGTTATCTTTTAAAGCCTCCAATTAATTTCTATATTTCTGAACATTTACCTTTGGGAATTAAAAATAAAACAAAAAAAGAGCAGAGTACAATTGAGTGGAAGTGTGTCGTGTCCCCAGTGGTTTCTGTCTGTGCAAACATTTAATTTAGACTGCCAGAGCCCCCAGCCCTTGACTGAAGTTTGCAGAAGAAAACTTAGCTACAAATGACTTACATGTTGCACAGAACAGACAGAAATAAAAGTCTCAGACAGGCCTTTTTCACCCAACAAAGGCTTATTTTTTTCCATCCTTTGCTTGGGCTCAAGCACTCCAGCCCTGCGTGCCTCCACTTTAAACATGATCAGATCTGTGCTTCACTGCAAATAACAACTGACCAACAATGGGCCCCGCTTCATAGATTTGGGAATGTTTGGCTTAAGCTGCTAATGACTGAAGGCCTTTAACTCCCACCGGCCAGCCACAGTCCGCTTTGTTGTTGTCTGTTGATATGTCTGTGCTCATTATTCCTTGACATGCAACATCCCCCTCCACCATCCACAGCTGACAGAAAGCGAGATTCCAATGGGAACAGCTGTAGTGGTTCAGTGGGGAGTGATGCCCCTCGTGCAGAGGGGAGGGAGACAGAGCAGGGCGAGGGCCCATCTGAGAAAGGTAACAGCTTTCAGAGGGTCTCGAGAAGAAATCTTCTTTTGAATATACTTCAGGGAAATCATTGTTGAAACAGGCTGACAGTGGAAATCTGCCCCAATTGAAAATGACAGCCCTAATTCAAAAGACAATGCCAAGTTAATAGCTTGTTGCATTTTTAAATTATTTCTAGACTTTGAGCTTTTGAATTAAATGGCTAACTGGGAAATGTTACCATTTTGTATGCATGTAGGGGGTAGAAATGGGCACAGATCTTCACACAGCTTTTTAAGTAGGATTTGTTTCTAACATATTTCTGATTTATGAAACTATAAGAATTATTTCTTTAAGGATTATCAGGATTTAAAATAGAGTATTATGAAAGTAACCATTGGTTTAGAATGTGTTAATCTAACGTGGAAACAAAACTGGTAACACCACACTATAAGGTTAAAAAGAAAACAGTATAATAAAGGAAGTACAAAGGCTTTGGTATGATTTTTACAATCAACAATGGTTAACTTTGATATGTAGTTGTGAACAACTGCAAAACACTTAAGTTTAAAACTCTTGCAAGCACTTTTAATTGATTAGGAATGAATTCTAGATGCACAAAGTGATTGGCCTGTGAACAGTAATACAACTATATCTAAGAACAATGAACTCTTGCTGGCCAAAAAGAAACGTATGATTGCGTGAAAATGTGTATAAAACATCTATAGAGTATTCTCGTCAAATATAAATGAAATTAACTTTATTATAGAAATCATTCTGAGGATTTCTAGGGAAGACAAATACTTACATTTGACATAAAACGAACTGGATTATATCGAAGACACGCTCTACCTTTTAGCTATCAACTTTTTTCCTCCTTGAATTTATATCTTACCCTTTTTTGCACATAAACTTCATCTGTTAACAACCTTTGGAAAACCAACAGATATTTCTTACATAAATCTAGTGCATGTTGTTCCAGGTTTAATTATATGCAAAGGAATGATACAAACTTGGAACATCAGTCCATAAACTATGAACAGATGGGTAGAAGTATTCAATATATCTTGATAAAACTCTTAATTCGTGGCAAAGCTTGTTGGTCATGGTTTCCTTTTTTTTTAACAACTTTATGACCAACACAGATCAAACATCCATCCAATCTACGTTGTTCTTTTTTTCATTATAACAGACAAATGCCCATTTACAAACCATACACCAAAATGAATAAAAGTTTGGATACCAAAATGAAGATTTGTTCCAACTGATACCGTGCCTTCTGTACACAAAGGTCCTTCTTTCGAGTCTGTCCCCGGTGTCACAATAAGGACACGACTGCAGAACTGAAGTGCTTCTAACAGCCATTTTTCTCTCCTTCCTGAACGCCCAACTGTCGTGTCCACAGTCACTGATGGAAATAACATATATCCTTTCTCTCTCTTTTTTTTTTTTTACTGTAATCTTGGCCAATATTGCGACATATCAGGTTCACTTCCAGGAACTTGAACTGGAACTGACACACCAGGGGAAATGAGTCCTAGAAGTGGATGAAAGAAACAGCCATGTAGATATTCCCTTCAAGAGACAGGCATGGAGTATGAGTTTATAGGTTAAGAAAAATATCTCTAATGCTTTCTAACATTTTAGGTGTATTTTGTGTGTGTGTGAGGAAGACCAGCTCTGAGCTAACATCCGTTGCCAATCCTCCTCTTTTTGCTGAGGAAGATTGGCCCTGGGCTAACATCCGTGGCCATCTTCCTCTACTCTATTTTTATTTATTTATTTATTTGTGTGTGTGTGTGTGTGTGTGTGTGTGTGTGTGTGAGAGAGAGAGAGAGAGAGAAGAAGACCAGCCCTGAGCTAACATCTGCTGCCAATCCTCCTCTTTTGCTGAGGAAGATTGGCCCTGGGCTAACATCTGTTTCCCCTCTTCCTCTACTTTATTATTATTATTGTTTTTGTGAGGAAGATCAGCCCTGTGCTAACATCTGCCAATCTTCCTCTTTTTTTTCGCTGAGGAAGACTGGCCCTGGGCTAATATCCGTGCCCATCTTCCTCCACTTTATATGGAACTTTATATGGGACACAGCATGGCTTGCCAAGCAGTGCGTCGGTGTGCACCTGGCATCCGAACCGGCGAACCCCGGGTGGCCACAGTGGAGCGCGCACATTCAACCACTTGTGCCACGGGGCCAGCCCCTATCTTCTACTTTATATGGGACGCCGCCACAGCATGGCTTGACAAGTGGTGTGTCATTTGCACCCGGGATCCGAACCTGCGAACCCCAGGCCACCAAAGAGGCCGGCCCCTTAAGTGTATTTTTAAAAAAATATTTCAAGTGTTACAAACAAAAGTAGCACCTTTAGAAACCAGAGAATATTTTTACCTATACCTATTGAATCCCAAGTCCCCCACCCAAAAGAAAACAAAAAACCCTCCAGTTGTTTGTATGTTTGGAAGTTTAGCAATAAAGCGACCTGGACACCCGGGGTGCTGCTTCTCCAGCTGCGCGTGAGAGGCACGGAGGCACCTGGTGGGCGAGGAGTTTTCCAAGGGCATTCGCCCTACAGCTCAGGCCTCACTGTCAAGCTTTGCCAACAGTATCTCAGAAAACGCAGTCTCAGGCCTTGTCTGCACATACAACCTCTATGACCACATTCAGGAAATACAACTTTGCTTTTCGTCTGTATGGTGTCGAGTTACTAACTAGCTTGACTGAATTTCCCTTTTCAACCAATTTTCCTTAGAGAAGCAAGCAAGACAGAGTTAAACACACCATCCCCCAAGGCCAGGAGGTTCTTTTTAGGTAAACTGAATGGAGGGAGATCACCTGGCAAGAGAAGCCGCAGAGGCGGCCTCTGTGCGGCCCGTGGGCGTGGCGCTCACCTGTGGACGTGGTGCCCGAGGTGCCCATGGGCTGACTGTTCATGTGTGTCTGCATGTGGGGTGGGGTGTAGGCGTCGTAACTCCGCCCGTTCACCGAAGGGCTGGTGGGCAGCATGCAGGAGTACGAGGACGTCTGGCTGGGGACCGGGGGCTGAGAGGAGAAAGGCAGCCTGTGGTCACGGAGAAACACATCACAGCCACGTCCCCAGCTCCCTCCTCCCCGGAACTCTGCCAGCAGGTCTGATCATTAAAGACGCCTTCATGGAAAGTACTGGAATTCCACGTGACAACCCTAAAATCATGCCTCCAACCAGTCCTTCCATTGGCCAAGCTAGAGTGAAGATGCCTCGAGCCAAACTAATAAGGTACTGTAAATTCAGACAGCTGTCTGGCTAGACAGTTGGCACTATCCATAAAATTAATAGGATTTTTGTCCATTTTTGTCTTGGACCTCTGCTGGCATCTTAGAGAAGCTGTAGCATGAGGCCTTCCATCAAAACACACCACTGCTTCTGCAGAGCCATCTACTTGAGAATCCAGCGGCCCCCAAACCCCACATCTCAAGCTCTGGGGGCAGAGAACAGGGGAGGTGCTCTCTGCGAAGTTTGGTTTAGGGACCAGGGGAGCCTCTCGTGGTGGGACTCACGGGATGAAAGAAGAGGAGGCAGATCAGTAATGATCTCAGGTTAGAGCCTCAGAAGTGTCAGTAAATCCCCAGTCCCCGCCTGAGAGCTAGCTGTAACTTCCTCACAGACCCAAAAACCCAGAGTGGGGCTTATCCATAAAACTGTGTTGCTCCCTTCTAAGGTGGTAGTGGGGAGGTAAACCTTTCTCCCAACTAAATAAAGAATAGAGCTGGGACAAAACCCCTTATGAGCGCTCCTGGGCTATGCCAGGGCAGCAAGCGTGGGATGAATTAACAGAAGCATTATGTCAGGAACAAGGGAGATGACGGTACTGCTCTGTTCTGCAGGCTATAGGAATGTTGAGCATTCCAAGACCCACATTCTCAGAGACGGTGACACTTGAGAGAGGGCCCAGAGGAGCACACTCACCCTTTGTGAAATGGTTGAAGATTTTGGTCAACAGGATGAACTGATGGACAGACAGACCGGCACCCCACCCACCACAAAATTCAAAGAGTAATTTTCTCTGAACAGTAGAATCATTGATAATTTTTATTTTTTTTTTGTGCTTTATGAATGTATGTATTTTTTGAATTACATAAGTTGTGTAATTTTTAAAAGTCAGTATTTGAAATAAACTGAGCCACACTAGTCTATATGTGGAAACAACCCTAAGAGAGGAGCAGTCTCTGTTTAATGGTCTGTAATGTTTTCCCATTTGCACACCGTGTCATCTTCACCGAGACCTGATGTTGCTACAATCCACAAAACTGAACAGGATGCTCGGGGGCCTTACTAACGTCCGAGGACAACTACTAACATCAGGTTCAAGGAGGCAAGCAGGCCTTGAGGGCTGTGCCAGAATTTCAGCATCTGCTTCTAATTCCCAGCATCACCTCCTCTAGGCAACCTGAATTCTGGAAAATTCCGAGGCAGTTTATCGACACCAACTAATGAGCTGTTAATCCCTTAATTTACATTAATTGCACTAAGGCCAGTAATATCCAGATGCAATAAAAATAAACGTGAATAATCCCTCTGAAGTTGTTTATCTAGCTGCTCCTATATTACTCTGAAGAATATGAAACATTTATTTTGCTGTTATTTGGATTAGAAATCCAGCAAAAGATGTTCAGTGGAGAATAAACGATCTGTGTAGCCCCAGAACTGTTTCCAGCCGGGCCTCCTGCAGGCCACCCTCACACCATCGCATCTCTAATTGTTGCACAAGCAGGAGTCCTGGGAGAGCCCCTGCAGAAGGCCCACCGCCTTCCTTCCCATCAAGGATCCGTCCACTCTGAGTTCTAGCACCTGCCGCCCGCCTCACACGAAGGCACTGTGGAGGGTGGCCCTGGCACAGGGCCCAGCACGTCTGGAGGGAACACAGTGGGGCAGGTTGTCACACTGAGGGAACAGCACCAGCCTCCCAGGCAGGAGGAGCACCAGACTCACCACGGGAGTCACGGCAAAGACACTCTAGGTTTCCAGCAAACGCCTTCTACTCCTTTTTTAATCATAAGATGTAGAAAGAAAACTAGCTTTTCCTCTATGTTAGGTATATCTGGCTGTGCAAACGTGAATCCCATTTCTGACCCCTTTTTCTTCCTCACTAGTGTGTCACATACACCCTGAATACTGTCCGAAATGCACACGCAGATCACATATTCATTAAGGTGAACACACCAATATAAACCCAAATTTCATGGATACCAACCCCTCACCGTCTAATACCGTGCCTGCACTATGACCATTTTCTGGTACAAGATTCCCTGGCACCTGAAACATGCCCCATTCCCACCCACATCATCAAGCCAACATTCTCTATGAGCAAAAGGCAGATCAACCTGACCGAACATCAGGCTTTTGGGTTTTTATGGACATGAATCCATCAATCAATTAAAAGACTAGAGTGACTGTTTTCATCACGGACGGACGTGACTGGTCGGGCCAACCACTGCCGTGAGAAAGGCCCCGGGGCGCGTGCATGGCAGCGAGGTCTCAAGCCCCATCCGCCCGTCAGGCGGGCGGCGCCGGCCCCACTTACTTGCATAGGCAGGTTATTCGCCATGGTGAAGCTGGGCATGGGCGGCAGGGCGCTGTAGGAGTTCGTGAGGGCCGTGTCTGTTCGGCCCAACATGGAGCCCGAGGTGAAGGAGGACACTGCAGGGAGAGGGACACGACAGACAGTCACGGCGCGTCAGGGCCGAGGGCAAACAGGTGCAGACACACAGGGTGGTGGCATGAAGATCCCACATTACCGGGCGTGCTGGGTTGTGGGATTGGCTGGTAGACGCTGGTGCTGAAGCTGCTGCTGATGGGAATGTGACTAGGCGTGGTGCTGGCCTGTCTCCTCTGGTTCCGCAGCTTCTCTTCTCTTCTCCATTTGGCCCTTCGATTAGAAAACCACACCTGGAAGTCAGATGGAACAGGTTAGCCCTGTGCCCACTGCCGGCTCAACCCCACCCCTGGCTCTTCCACTGTCCCCTCCTCCCCCAGAAAGGTATTCAGGGGACTGAACCTGCTACTATTCGTATAGACAAACGGCGTTCCTTAGAAGCACCATTGTCCCTAGAAAAGGCAGACGGTATGAGTCACAAAGAAGGAGACCACACAGTCCCTGGGTACCTGTATCCTTGCTTCAGGTAGGTCTATTTTGGCTGCTAGTCTTTCTCGGGCAAACACATCTGGATAATGGGTTCTCTCAAACTCTGAAAGAGTAAGTTGAGTTTTCTATGTTGTGCCAGAACTACACAAAATGTGTCAACCCAGCCCTGGATCAAGCTGGTCCCCACCTCCCCACTTCCATCACCTCCAGCCAGTTCCCTTTGAAATGCTGCTACTGTCAGCACTGACTGTACTTGGAAGAAGGATCCCACCAGAACCAAGTTAAATTTCCTTAGGAATGACAGTCATTCAAGGATGCTTCTGTGGCCTGAATTAGCCATATCATCATTTTTTCTGTATGACAAGTCAGACTAGTCTTTGAATTACTGGTACGTGAAAAGAAGAAAGAAAACACACACACACTGAAAAGATGCCCAGGGGAAAAAAAAAAAAAAGACCTTTTCAGCCTTCTGTGCAAAGGGCCCTGGCTGAATTTAGCCCTTTGTACTGAAGGTGTGCCATTACTTTGATTTACTGCTTCTCTACTTTGAAAACCCCCATCACCTTTCTCCAGGGCCTCAATCTGCTCTTGGGTGAAGGATGTTCTATTTCTCTGCAGCTTCCGCTTCAGCTGAAGTCGCATTTGGGCCTCATCGGAATCTTCTCCGTTGGAACTGATGGAGTTGGTATTCTCTCCCCCTCCTTCCTGTTGCTGGCAGCCATCTGGAACAAAAAGAATAGGACGGTAAGAGAAATTCGGAATAACTCGGAGCCTCCAAAAGGGGCCCGGTATAGCCATAAGCCCCAACGCAGTATATTCTGACAGTCTCACCAAGACATGCCCAAGGTAACGAAGTACAGCCTTCTTTCAACACAAGACCTTAGTGACACCCGGGACCTGACTACCATTTCCTTTTTTCTGTTTTTATCAAGATGAGACTGCACAGTATACACACTTACAGAGTGGCATTTCTTTGAATGACGGAACAGCTGAAGTTTCCAATTAACACAATCTCTCATAAGCAACCTGGACTCCCCAGTGCCTCCCAGTTCCCTCTCCCTATGGAATTTATTTACCTATGGCGGTGTTGGGAAAACAGAAGAGTGATGTTCAAGATCTCAGCTGATCTATAGTCCGTAATTCCTATCTAATCAATTAGATGTTGATAGGTTTGTAGAAAATGCTATTAAGAAACCAAACCAAGCTTGTAATCTTTTAAAAAAATATTTATCTAGTTTTTATTTGAATTCTGCACAGTCAATTTCATTTTAAAGGTTGTGAATTTAGAAGTGCTCGCATTGTTCTGCAGTTTTATTCAACTATTGTATGAGTGTGCTTTGCCTTGACACCTATTACGAGCACAGCTGTAATTATATCATCACCAAGAACAGGCTATAATTGCTGAAAATGGAATTTTATATTTAGATAAAAGGACTGTCCATTCTTTGTAATGTGTTGCACCAGAAAAAAGTAAGAATTCTTTTAAATTTTTAACGTGTAATTTTAAAAAAGAAATAGTAGCGAGTTCACTAACTAGCTAAATACGCTACACTGCAGCTGAAACCTTGGCACATCATTTAAGCGATACGTTTTTAATTAGAGCATTTCCCCCACTTTTAATGTAATTTCTATCATTAATGATCAACGGGGGAAAGTTTGATTGTTTTCCCCGCTGCCTGGAGGGCAGGACGAGCACCGGGGCTGCTGTCCCCGTGCCCGTCGTGCTCAGGGGCCCCAGCCCGTCTGAAGGGGCCGGGCATGGCCGGCCGGTCCTCAGCCCCCGAGGGACAGGCCCCCCGGACCCTGGCCGCGGGGCGGCCGCCAGCGGGAAGGCCCGCCAGGAATATCGTTTATAACCCGAGACAAAGGCCGCTTCTTCAAAGGCTCCGCAACGGTGACAGGATCTAGTGGGATCTTTTCAGGACCTCTGAAACGCTTTAAACCCCACCTTCCCCCCCCTTCCAACAGGCGGATCCGCCGGCTCTGGCCACCATATGGGCCCTCGGCGATCTATTGAGATGACCACCAGCGCTTGAATAGCGCGGGGCCCCTTTCAGGCCGCACAAAGCCCGGCCCGTAAGGGAAACCATTAAACTCCCGGGCAGGAGCGTCGGCAAACTTTCGTGGGCAGAATTTCGAGGCCACAAAGACGCGCACAACAAAAGGATCCTCCGCAGGCGTGCAGCGGCCGCATTGTGCGGCGGGGCCGGTCGACAGACTCCGCGGGGCAGTGTGTTAACCCCGGCTCGGCCGTCATTAATCACTGTCCGCGGGGCCGCCGCCGGACGCGGGCGG